AACAAACCTGAGGAAATGCAGCAGTGGAAATAGGGATGGGAAACAGGGAATGTAGGCAAGGAGACAGGCTGAGGCTTGGGGGATTTTTTGTTTTCTTTTAAACAACCACATGTTGGGATTCCTGTCAGCATAACAATTGTCTTTGTTCTAAGCACACTTGTGACAGCAAGAGTAGAAAAGAAAGCCTAGTGGGTCCATGGCTGCAAGGCTTCTGACCAAGGAATCAAGAAACACAACTCAATCTGTTATGTCAGCTTAGTTACTCCTGCCCAGTTTTTTTGGCTGCACAATGGGAAAATGAGGCTGATGATAATCTTCATTACTACAATGAAGCATGAGTCCAGGAGAAGAAAAATAATGAGGAGAATGATATGATACAGAAATGCAGTATCCAAAGAAGCTGGGATTTCAGGAAAACTTTTTACTGTCATCCACAGATCTAGCATCTCACCAAAGAATAAAAGATACTCTGCAGTTAAAACAGGAACAGATACCTTCACTGAATCATGTATCTCTTGTGACGTGTGTTTCCTTTACAAAGTTTTTGCTTAAAAAATAAAAAAGGAATATACATCATCTGATTTCATTTTAAAAAAGGAACCTATACCCTTATCTTCTGATTTCTAATCGTGTGAAAGGATAGAAACATACTAACTTCTATTCATTAACTTTAATCAAAAGAATTCTTGGCTGTTTCATTTAAGGCGGATTTAATCAAGCAAGGTTGGCTCTGAAGTGAAATTACAGTCTTTAGACTACGGAACAATTAATTTAGAGTTTTGCCCTGCAACAGGTCCCTGATGAAATACTAAATTAATAGATTGCAATAGGGCATTTCAGATAGGTAGTTTTAAATACCATTTAGGTGTTTTCTCTTAAGATGTACAGGCAAAACCTTCGTGCAAACTTGCATATTATTTTTCCAAACCTCAATGGAAATGTAAGATATTGGTCAAAAAACTTCATATTATACCAACAAACACCAAAGCAGAAGTGTTTACATTGCAACCTATGTATCATACTAGAGATCAAAGACTTCTCAGGTTCATCTCACACAAAAATGCACACATAATGTGCTTTCCTACCAACAAGATATTGTGAAGCTTTTGGTTACTTATCATTTGTACCACAAAATCACAGAATAGCAGGGGTTGGAAGGCACCTCCAGAGATCACCCAGTCCAACACCCCTGCTAAAGCAGGGTCACACACAGAGCAGGTTGCACAGGACATTGTCTAGGCAAGGCTTGAATATCCCCAAAGGAGGAGACTCCACAACCCCCCTGGGCAGCCTGTGCCAGGCTCTGTCACCCTCAAAGTAAAGAATTTCTTCCTCATATTCAACTGAAGCCTCTTATGCTTCAGTTTGTGCCCATTGCCCCTTGTCCTGTCTCTGAGTACCACTGAGAAGAGTCTGGCTCCATCCTCATCACATCCACCCTTAAGATATTTGGAAGTATTTATGAGATCCCCTCTCAGTCTTCTCTTTTTCAGGCTAAACAAGCCCAGCTCCCTCAGCCTTTCCTCATAGGAGAGATGCTTCAGTCCCCAAATCATATTTGTAACCCTCCTCTGGACTCTCCCTAGGAGTTCCTCATCCTTCTTGAACTGAGGACCCCAGAACTGGATGCAGTGCTCCAGATGTGGTCTCACTAGGGCAGAGTAGAGGGGGAGGATAACCTCCCTCGACCTGCTGTCATGCTCCTCTTAATGCGCCCCAGGATGCCATTGGCTTTCTTGGCAACAAGGGCACACTTGCTGATTCATGGTGAACTTGTCATCCACCAGGACTCCCAGGTCTCTCTCAGCTAGGATAAATAAAGGAACTTCAAGTTTTACATAAACTTTGCATTTATAATGATTCTAAATCACAACCCTCATAATTTGGGGTACTCTGGAGTCTTTTAGCCCAAGTAATTTAATCTCCATTATGATGAAATATACCTGCTTCTAATCTCAAGTTGAAATGAGGTAACTCTACATGACAATGTTAAAGAAAACCCTTCAGCCCCTGATTCTGGTACCACAGACTCCTCTCCTGCTGTCCTCAGCACTTCTCCTACCGTGGCAAGAATCCAAGAGGTGATGTGTAGTAAAAACCAAACTCTTCCTAAACTGTTCCACAAAGTATGTTTTGGACAAAACTTTTTATAATTAGGCTCAAGGAAAATTTCCCTGACTAAAGCCAAAGTGAGTAAAATAAAAGAACCGTTTAGATATCTGCACTAGAACCAGCTCTCTGACTGTCGTATGCTTAGTTAATTGAAAGAGTAGTTTTGCTCCTACAGTAACTCCCAGACTATCTGCTTATTTTCCCAGATCAGACTGAGAGCTGCAATTTAGTTTTGACGTAAAGAAAAAAAGCCTGCAAGGGCATTTCAGTAACCAACTGCTAATTCCAGCAAATACTCTACTCGGGCCGTTTGACTGATATGACAGCTTAAGTTTTCTTATCCCTCACACAGGTCTACATGGGAGTTTGAATATTAATTTGTTATGTGCATACTTCAAGAAAAAAAAATGTAAATTAAAAAAAGAAACCGCTGTTGCTCAGAAATGACCTGTGGAAAGCACTGGACCAGCCAAAGCTGTACTATCCCACTGCAATCCAAAAAGCTCAGGAAAAACAATGTGAATTCACAGCCTATTTGAGATGTGTAAATACCTAATGTAAAAACTGGAAGAGCAGAGAAATTTCTTTGTCATCCACCACCAGGATGACAGCTCTACTAAGGATCATAAAATACAGAATATTTGTTCAGAACACTTATCAGTGATATTTGTCAGGCTGTCATCTATTTTTAGTCAACAAAATCAGCTCAGACGTTGGATAAGAATAAACATTTTTGTTGGCCTGAAAGTTGTGCTTTGCTTTTTCTAGGCATGCTATGTTAGCTCATTAGCTATTGACTAACCATGTGGAACAATCAAATAAACTCTTATACCATACTACAGGTAGAACAACGCATCACCTGTGAGGCTTGAAAGAGATTGCAAAGGGTTTTCAGCAATTCAAGGTACAGGACCAGGTACGAAAGCCAACTCAGTACAAGCCATGTTTCTCCTTGTTACCAAAGTCGAATGCCCTCACCTTTTACCTGATCAAATTTCCATGTGAGAAACACGCTATTGTCAAAAGGCCAAGAAACCACATTCCTTACAGAGGCCATCCATCCATTTACTATTTTCCGGTTAGGCCACCAAAGTGTGCTCAAGGTTCATACCAGTTTGAAAGCCACAAGGCAGGAACAGCCAGCATTTTAAATAGAAGTGGTGCCTGTGCCATCTTCCACTATCACACTTTCTCTGTCTGCCAAATATTTTCCCAGTATAATTCAAGATGTGCTTTGAGCCTTCAAGGTGTTACATGACTTTGGAAACCATCACTACTTAGGTGGTTTCTCCCACTCTTCACCAAGGAGGCTGTAGCTACTCTCCAGCTGTTGCCAAACCCAGAGCAATCTGCTGCAAAATATCTAGTGAAAATACCACAATTAAAGATCCAGACCTAAGCGGGGGTTTGACCAGCTTGTTGCATCAAATTCCTCATGGCAAGGATGGTAACATTTGCTTGGCTCCCTGTCCTCTTTATCTAACTTTCCCATAGCCACAGGGGATCTTCAGTTTCTCCAACACCAACTGATTTGTCAGGATTATTGAGGAGCACGACCAAGTGTACTATCTGGCATATGGCAAAACATATTCGTGTGAACAGTGGTTATATATTATTATTACTGAGTTTGAAAAATATATAGGTAATAAGTTTTAATGACTTAATATAGTTAAAATAGAAGCAATTTAATTTTAAGCTAAAACCTAGCTATATAGAGAGCTGTAAGTACTATATGACCATGATCACACAGCAGTTTTAACATTTAGAAACATTAAAATAAAACCTGTTAGTAAATCAATGAAAGGTCAGAAAGATTAAGGGATTAAATTTCTTACTGGTACAAAAATATGCAAATTGAGTACTAGACTGTAATGTGGCCATGCCTTTGTGCCCTCTGTAGAGGACATGAAACAAAAAACAGATTACATTTTGTGCCACATGTAAGACAGCCTCACATCAAAAGTCAGTGGGAGGATGTTTTGTTTGTAGATCAAAGAAAAGGTGAAGTACATAGAAAAAATTCAAAACATGCAAGAAAAGATTCCAGTTGCGAGCAATCTACTTTTATATTAATTTTTCTAAAGCCCTACTTAATGCTACTTTAGCTCTACAAAGAATATAATTCTTAATGACTTGCATGATCAGCTAATCCCCATGTGGCTACAATATAGTTGTGGGGTGTATGGTTTAGTCTTTGGTCATGCATCCTCTTCTTTCTCAAAACCCCACCTCCTGCCCCTGGGCTGCAATAACACATGCATTAGCATAGAAATATGTGATAGGAGTCAAAAATTATGCCATCCACATGGCACTGCAGAAAAAAAAAAAAAAAACCAAACTAAAAAACCAACCAAAACCTCATAAACTCAGTAACCTTGTCCACAATAAAATTAATTTTTGAAACTAATTGAAAGAAAAAAATACATTCAAAAAGCTGGGTTACAAAATAAAGCTTAAAGATACCTAAATATTGCTTTCCTTCTGTCGTGAGATATTTGGATATAGTAACCATGATAAAATAGTAAATCTTCAGCTAACAAATTGCATTTAAAGTACCAATTTTTTTTTAATCTTGTCTTGCACAGAGACCATCTGTCTACAGTGAACACTTACCTCACCCACAACCTTTCCCCCTTAAATAAATGTACCTCCTATGAATATCTCTGGAGATGCTTTTTTTCCTAGACTAGGATTAATTTTTTTTTAAGGCATGTTTTATTACTTTGCAATCTACTGCTGCCATCTCCTGTGTTAAATGAGGCAGGAAGAAACTTCATAGTTACAAGCAGGCTATTTAATTTTGACCATATGGGAATGGTTTCTGTTGGTCAAGCAGGGAGTACTGCACCTAAATACACTGCAGAAGCTGGTTAAAAAGTTGGCATTACCTCTAAGTGACTCCGTCGTTCTGCAATCACTCGTTCATCCTTGTTTCCAAAGAGCTTCTTTGGAGGGAATTCTAAAGTGGCAAGCTGAAAGACATTAAAGGATGAGTCGGCATCAGAAGTGACAAGCTCAAATGAGAAAATTCTCTTTAAACTATGAAGCAACTGGGAAGAAGAAAATGCCAAATATTCATGAGCTACACTATATGCTATTAGCAAATATCCCATTACACATTTCTACTGACATGATTACAATCTGATCTGTAGTACTGCTAAGACAGCAACACATTTTGTCATAAATGAGTGACAGAAAGCAAATTTGGGAATTAGACTGACACCGTTTGCCCGCGTAAAGATTACAAAGTTGCAAACTGAATCTGATGTGATAGCACCAACTAAGGCGTGAGAAAGATCTCTTCAGAAATTCTGTGCATCTTAAAAGATTGCATTCAGTCTTTTAAAAACTGTGGTCTCCAACTGTATTGTCATGTAATTTGTTTGTCTTTTCTTATGTTGTATGGCAAACATAAGATCATTGGATCTAAGAGCTATCACTGAAGTTACACTGTGGAAGATGGCATTGCTGGACACCAGATGACACCTGAGCCAGATCTGATGGACCAAATTTCGTTGTGTCTTGAACTATGACTTCTTCCTTCACAGCGGCACACACCTATGCTGTGATGGCAGCTAAGATTATGGGAAGTGGGACTTCTTGAGCTGTAACTCAACTGTAGCTCAAACACATCCAAATGCGTGTCCATGCTGGAAGCAGCTTTAATTTCTGAAGAGAATCCACATGAGCACGCAAAATCCCATTTATCACACTGAAAATGAAAACAAGGCACAACTCCTAAAAACAATTATTCAGATCTGTCCTTTTAGGAGTTCTTCCACAGAGGTGTTCAAAGCTATCTTCTCATTCCTTTTTCGTCCTGTAGGAACTGTGGCAAGCTACACTGGTAAGGGAGAGAGCAAGGGACTGTCTTCCTTTCTTGTACACCAACAAATAAAGTGCTTGAACAAATTCCAGCCAGCTATATCTGGAAAACACACAAAAGACGCAAGAGTTGGTAACAAGTACCAGTGAACTTGATCTGCTAAAGCCACTGCTGCTGGGAACGGTGCACAAGAAAGCAAGTCCTCTCCACATAGTTTGTGTTTGCACTTGAAGGCACATCAAAACCAATTTCCTCCTAGCTCTCACTGTACAAGACAGAAATATGCAACCTCCCACTGGCATTGCTGTAGCTTTTTTGCAGGAGAAAGCCCTGTGTAAAGATGCCTCCTGCATGAATTCCCCTGGCTATTTGATGATATTGAACTAATAAACAAGATGCATCATTTTTTAGTATATCAGCACATACAGGACTGTAGAGAATTTATGGCTGGTTACAAGGAGCAGCAATATACTGAATTAAATTAGGAGCTTTGTTATTAACACGGAACGTAAGCATCTTTAAAATACAGAAGAATTCTGCAGTACAAATAATTTATTCTCATTCTCTGGTTCAACTCCAACTTGGATAATTTCAAAGAAATGCCTAGACATCTTCAAATGAGCAATATAAAGTGATGTGGGGCACCGGAGGAGATGGAGGAGATGTCTGCTCTGCATCAGTCTTGTCAGCATGCCCCAATTATATTCCTCAAATTTCCCAACCATATTCTTCTCGCTCTGCCTGCTTCCTCACGTTGGCAGGACAAGCAGTACACAACCAAACAATATCCTATAATTACATCCTTGGGACTTATTTTCACTGCATTACTCACTCCTTAATGTATACAGGATTATAAGTGCTAATATTTTAAAGGGCCTCAAAATCCCACCCCTGCAGAAATTATATTTTATTAAATAGCACTGCATCATGTCACTGCCAGAAACAAGCAAGCTAAAATGACTACCACCACAATCCCCTCCTGGCCCTACAGAGACTGTTTTATATTTAGTCGCTAATAAATACTTTCATTATAGAATTTTAAAATAGCATCTGTTAAAAAACAATTTGCACAAATAAAAAAACCCTACTGCTACAACATCCTCAGACATACTCTGTAGAGTCAAATCAAGGTGTTACAGCTAAAACCAGGAATGATTTCTTCATCTAAATTAAGTTTGATTTTAACATGCATTTGGGGACTGATTCTACAAAACTTTGGGATGAGCAAGTTGCTTTCCTAATCTATTTGCTTTCTGGATGCATCTTAGAAGAAAATCAGTTGCATTTTCTAAAGCCCGGAAGTTTTGCTAAACTCATTCAAACCAAAGTAGCTACTCACATAATTTTAACACTTCTTAATTCCCAAATCACTACATCGTACAAATCTTTGAAACCAAACCAATGACAGTCCATTATTACAGTCATGAATTTAATACGCCAGAGAAAGGCCTCAGCCAAGAGACTTGGCCCTGAAATGTTCAAAGTCACAACATGTACCTAAATGAAAATCATAATTTCATTGCTGGTCAAGACCTGGATCTGAATACTTTGGATTTAGACAACTATATATAATAAAAACCCCCATCCAGATCAGAACACCAATGGGCCAAACTATACTTGGCACACATATACATATTACTTACGTTGTAATACACATACGTGCATACAGAATATACCTATACATACAAATATGTAACTTGGAAGGATTTTGCATCCTGCAGAGGGTAGGTTACAAAGGACTGATCATCTACTGCAGTCACCATCTCTACAGGGCCGGATGCAGAAGGCGCACAACCTTGCCTCTGGCTCCTCTTTTAGCCAAAGGAATAGCAGATGACCATGCCACAAATAAAAAATGGAGACCATTTCTGTGACACAACAGATGACCACCCAGCTATGTGACAGAAAAAGCTCCAGCCATAGATTTCATCATCACTTCGGCAACTCTTGGAAACCCTGGATTATGCCAATGCATTCTGCTCCCCTACCTGCCAAGAGTCTAATCCCCACCAAAATTTAAAAAAAAAAAAAAAAAAAAAAAAAAAAAAAAGAGAGACAGACATTCAAAACTCTCCAGGATTGAGTTTCAGGCTGTCTGAATGCTTAATGCAGACATGACAGCACCAGTTTCCACCCAGTTCACAGCTTGAAAATTATCTTTGCAACATGAGAACTAGAAGCATTCATGTGGCAATGTGAATTATGCAGTCCTCTGTGTGACTCTAATTTCACTGTAATAAGAAGCTGGTCCATTGTAGTATATTTATACAAAAATACAATAAATATACAAAGAATATTTACCAGAGGTAGTTTGCTTATATTTATACACCATTGATCTCTGTCACTCTGACTTACAAAGTTACTCCTTTAGCATGGGGGAAAAATATGTGGGTACAAGACTTCCACAAATAGGCAGTGTCAATAAAATGTTCTCACCTTGTCACAATGTTGGTTTATAAAAAAGAAAAAAAAAAAAAACAGCCCTCCAATACAAATATACTGAAATAATAACAAATGTTATGATAATTGTCTGTAAAGATCCTCTGTCCTGATGTGTCATTTGACACACAGATTCTGAATGTAATTGTGTGTGATTCAGAAATGCAATGATTCAAAAGAATTTTGAGGTTTATTTAAAATAACTTACTCATTTAAGCCAAATGGCAGTAGTAAATATTTCAAGAAATTCAAATTTTGCTATTAGCAGTGCTACAACACCTTTAAGAAACTGCACAGCGACTTCAGACGAGATTACCACTGCTACAGGGTTAACGCACGCAGCACAGTATGTGGCTGAGCCGCATTTGTTCTGTCACTTACATATTTAAGAGATCTGCAGGTGTAGATTTTGCATCAAGATGTTTGCCTTGGCTCAAACACTGTAAGAGAATTTCACACTATCCAGATTCAGGAATATAAATTATTCTTTTAGAATTAAATGGCCATGTAGCCTCTGGCTCAAATTAATTATTCAAGGGTCACACCTTGACTACAAGATGAACGTTTTGCAGTAATACAAGGTGTAACAGTGGGACTCTACAGGTAGCAAGGTAAATCATTCCACTTTCCTGAAAGTTCTGAAGCACAGCCCTCCTCTCCCTGTCCCCCTTGCTGCAGTGGCAGTGAAAGCAGTTGGCAGTCAGTCTTTTTCAGTGGGGATGTTTTGTCATTTTTTAGGGCTGCCGATGAGGTGATATGTTTTCTGTCAGGGGAAATTAAGAGGCATATTCCCCAGCCTGACAGGAAGAGTGAGCTCGAATGATTTCCTGAGAAGCTTCTGCACGCAGTGTGCAAGATTTCTAATTTTTATTTTGGCTGCAGAACCATTTCCCTTCTATATGTAATTACAGCATCGCTGCAATACAAATTCCATTATATACATATGAGTGTGCACACGCATGCATATGCATACCATGGGCAAAGCTGGGACTACTCTTAGACCCAAAATGCAAAGCCAGATAATATTTTAAAATAGTACGGAGACACCTCAAGACTGCTTATCAGCACTCCTAATGTCTTTTAGACATTAAACTTTTTACAGTTAATGATGTTTATCCTATCTGGCAATCGTTGCTAGGCAGTAGCAGTCTTAGGGAGAGGCAAACAGTCATTTGCAATTTACTCCTTAATTTCTTTATAATAAATAAAGGCTGTGCTTTATTTCTGGGTCTTGTATTACTTGGGGACATGTTATTTTTCTGTGTCTCAGCCACCTTCTCTGTAGGAAACGGTACTCACCTACGCTGATACAGTATTTGTGAGATTGGTACGATCAAGTTTAGACAGCATTAGGTCTAGTCCTCAAGCTGAAGGTGCTTCATACCTAGCACGTATTATTCTAGTAAATTTTAAACAGCTGAATGGATTCCTATACTTCTCTTATATTTCAGTCAGGAGACTGGTTTTAACAAGGTTATCATCAGGCATTTAATGCTGGTAAGAGTAGATGGCAGAACAGTAAGTGACCTGTTTTTAGTCACCTGTTTTATCTTATATGCAACTCTTTGACACTAAGATTCATCTGCTTCTGGAAACAGCATATACCAAACAACATCTATATGGGAGCATAGTCTTTTAGTGAAATCATACAACTTCATAGCCTCCAACTACTGAGCCCCAGGAAGAAATGCAAATTTGGATACTGGC